GTCCTTATCAACGTTTCTACACCGCTGTATAAGCACTTGGAGAGCGAAAATTGCTTCTCTAGTTCCAAGTGCTTTCCGAAAACGAAACTGCGATCTATGAATATTTGACTCACATTTATCATATATTCTTCTATGAATGATCATAGTGAACGCTTTAGTGGCATGATTGATCAAGCTTATAAGCCGGTAGTCATCACAAATCTGGGCATTTGGTTTCTTCGGGATTGTAATAAATGTTGACTGTAGCCAGTTCTCCGGGATTTTACCGTTATTATATATGTTGTTAAAAAGTACAACTAGATCATCAAGGAACTGTTTGTCTGATTTACATAGGATCTTTAATATTTCGCAGGGTACATTGTCGGGACCTGCTGACTTATTGTTTTTTAGTGCTGCAATAGCATCTTCTATCTCCGATTTAAGGATTGAAGGTCCTGTTTCTCCTTCTCCATATAGGTGATCATCAATCTCCATATAGGTGATCAAGAAGCAGTTGCTTTCAAATAATGCTTTTACATGATTATGAACAAGAAGTCTTTCATTATTATAGCGCTCACAAAGCAACTTCTACCACTACCACTAAATTTCGGTACCTCAACTGGCGGAAGACGAAACCCATTAAAATCGTTTACTTGACTAAACAATGCATTTTCCGAGTATGAACTGTTATTTGATAAATTTGTACTATGCCGAGAAAGTTTAGATTGTAATCGCTTACTTCAAGCCAATTCGCAATAAAAAGATTTCGTAAATTCCTCGCGTTCGGTATAACAACTTTCTAATTCATCCTCATCAACTAAATCCTCTAACTCTAACTGCGATTCCTCGTAATTTTGGATTATTTTATTCGCTTCTTCGATACGTAAATTTAAATTATGAATCGCGTCCTCTAAAATATGAATTTCAGAGCCTGTTTCCGTTTCCAAATCATTTAAAAAGTTTTTAAAATGGGTTAATTTGGTCTTTACTGCACTCCGCTTTCGTTTTACAATTTTTATTTGCTCTTCGGTATTCATCTTTGTTTTAGTTATAAATAAAATTATTATTAAATTACTACTACAAATTAAAAAACGAAAAATAAATTCGTATAAATTCTGTCAAACAATAAATCAAGCAGTATTCATACAAACAGAAATGATTTTAATTTTTGGAGGAATAAATTCGGTAAAAAGGATTTTTGTACTCACTCTTTGAATTCTGGGCAACGCCGCTAGCTCTCTGGCGTCAGCTACACAGTTTGGTTTTTGGATGATCTGCTCGTGGGTAAGCGTGCACTTAAGAATATTGGAACTGTCTGTTTTCGCGTATGAAATTACTTTGAATTTAACGTTTATTTAAGCCGATCACTGATATCCGGCTCGAAGGACCATTATATGTATAGTAACTGAGTAGACTGTATATTATTTATTTGAACTTTGAAAAATAAGGCTATTATCGAGCACAAGTTAATTAAATCTAGCCCAAGTACTTTCGCTTAAAATAGCATCTTCAGCATTTCGTCAAAATATAAACTATCCGGCAAGCGTAGAATGTGGAAACATTCTACGCTTATAATAATCATACAATATGTATGTACAATAAACATTCTACGCTTAATAACATAAAATTGTACAAAACACTACACTAAAACGAGGACAAACAGTTTAAAATTACTTTAAAGATTCTACGCTACATTCTTTGTCAGTATCTGAGGGATAATCTTGGGCTAGATTTAATTAAATTGTGCTCGATAATAGCCTTATTTTTCAAAGTTCATTTATTCGAGCATTCAACCTCATTTCAATTATTATTTATTTGTTCAAATTAAAACGCATTACGCTTACGCATTAGGGTTTATTTACTAAAGGTTTACAATATGAATTAAAATGTGTCTTCACACCACGGCGGTCAGTGAAGGTCTCTCTTGTCCAATTCAAGTCGCTACCTCGGCACGGATCATCGGGTTGGTAAGCTGCGTTGCCGATGTTCGCAGTCTCTAACAGACTTAGATGGTGGCGATGTTGATGATTTACAACTCTCAAAGATTTGCGTAAAGAAGTTAGATTTGATGATTTTATGTTGATTAAGAAATTCAGCCGTTACAAAATGTGAAGTAACAATAAAACAGCCGTACTCAAACTGTGGTACGCGTACCACTGGTGGTACGCAAAGAACTTTGAGGTGGTACTCTATAAACTATAAGAAACGAAGAATTTTAATCAAATTTATCAACGAATGTTATCTTTTACGTGGTGCATGGCAACACTGCGAGTTGGAAACACAAGCGCGTAATGTCTTATTCATTGTTGGCAACACTGGAATCCCGGCAAACTGCCACCGCCCTTGATTCACGTCATCAGTGGTCATTAGTTTCCTCGTGGCCGTCAGTCGTTGTGGTTAATTTTGTCGAAACGAGTAATTTGCTGTTACTGATTCGTGCTAATTTTTGCATACAAAAAATGGATAAGTGGCTTAAAAGAGACAACAGAACATCTGAAAATCCCGGTCTATCGAGATCCACTTCAGAGTCGGAGCCTATCCAGGGTGATGGCAAAAAGAATTATTTCAAAAAACTAAAAGTGGCGGTTAGGAAATATGATCCTGAATACATTAATATGGGATTTACATTCACGAATATAAATGATGAGCAAAGGCTCCAATGTGTAATCTGTTCGGAAATTCTTTCTAACCAGTGTATGAAACCTTCGCTATTAAAACGCCATTTCAGTACAAAACATTCAGTGTTGGAAAATAAACCTAAGGATTTTTTCGTCCGGAGGTTAACGGAGATGAGAGGCACAAAAAAATTAATGTCGAATTTCACCGGCATCAACCAAAAAGCAGTAGAGGCATCCTTCCTCGTGAGTTTAAGAATTGCGAAGTGTGGAAAAACGCTTACAATCGGCGAAGAACTAGTTCTGCCTGCCGCACAAGATATGGTAACGTGTATTTTTGGAGAGAATTCAGGTAAACAGCTTAGTATTATACCATTATCCAATGATACCGTACGTCGCGTCGTAGGATTGAAATAATGGCATTAAATGTTAAAGAGAAATTGGTAAACCGGATAAAAAATAGTATTTTTTTTGCAATACAACTTCATGAGAGCACAGATATTACAAACTATGCTCAGCTTATGGTTTATGTGCGGTATATATTTCAAACCAAAATCGAAGAAGAGTACTTATTTTGTGAGGCGTTAACGGAACGAACTACTGCCGATGAAATATTCAAGAAAATCAATGATTTTTTGTGGAAAATGGACTAGACTGGAAACAATGCGTTGGTTTCTGTTCGGATGGTGCCCGAGCCATGACAGGAAAATACGAAGGTGTAACTGCCAAAGTAAAACTGGTTGCAGAAAATTGTACTTTTACCCATTGTAGTATCCACAAAGAAGCTTTGGTAGCAAAGCGAATGCCCGATGAATTTAAACATGTTCTCCATGAAGCCGTTCAGATAGTCAATTTCATAAAATCTCGAGCCTTAAACTCGCGTTTATTTTCAAAACTATACTCTGAAATGGGAAGTGATCATATTCAGTTATTGCTACACACGGAGATAAGATGGCTATCAAAAGGAAAAATGTTGAACAGGTTATTCGAGTTGCGTTCTGAAGTACATGTGTTTTTAATGGAAACCAATTTTGTTCTGCGTGATCGGTTATGAGATGAATTGTGGCTTACAACACTAGCTTACTTAACAGATATATTTAATCGATTAAATGGCCTAAACTTAAGCTTACAAGGTAAATCACATAATCGATTTTCTGTAAACGACAAAATAAATGCTTTTATCAAGAAATGTTATATGATGAAAAATAGTGTTTCAAACAAAGACCTGCAGTCGTTTACCAATTTAGAAAATTTTGTGGTTGAGCATGAAATAAAGATTAAAGATGATCTTATTTTTAACATAAAACAGCATTGTCAAATGCTAATTGATAGTTTTAAAGAATATTTTGACGAAGAATATGCTCAGTTTCTCTGGATACGACAACCATTTATTTTGGATAGCATTCCTGAATCATTAAAACAGGATGAAAAAGAATCTTTAATAGAACTATCTTGTGATGGAGGCTTGAAAATAGAGTTTTCTACATTAGAATTAGCTGAATTTTGGCTAATTATTAAAAATGAATATCCAGCCTTATCAGAAAAAGCATTGTTATTTTTACTTCCTTTACGACAACCTACCTGTGTGAAACTGGATTTTCTGCTATGCTACAACTGAAAAATAAATTTCGCAGTAGGCTTAATGTTGATCCAAATTTACGAATGAAACTAAGCACACTTGATCCTGATATCGATTCACTTGTTGTAGCTATGCAGAACCATCCTTCTCACTGAATTTTTGGATTGGGTCAGACTGTAAGTTTTATTTTGTAACATTTATAATGCACTTTTTTAAATACATTTTTGCCAAAATTAGTAAATTTTATTATCTGCTTTTTTAATAGGTGGTACGCGATTGACGCAGAATTTATGTAAGTGGTACGTGTAAAAAATGGTTTGAGAATCGCTGCAATAAAACAAACAAAGATTTCAGAATAATTTAAACCAAATTGATTCGACTGTACTAACATAAATTATCTTATATTGTCAAATAAAATTTGAGAGTTATACTATGATTTTTTTTTAATGTTCTGTTAACCGTCTTCGATTATCCGTCATACCCTTGGTCCGGTGCCCTGACGGATAATCGAGGTTCCATGTAGTTGCAATTAATTATTAGAAACCTCATACCACCAGTTGTCAGATTGCAACAGATGCCTTTTTACCTTTATTATTTATACTGACATTTTACTATTTATAATGTAACAATGCTGTTGTAATATTCAGCCTAACATCATTTATTGCTAGATGTTTTGTTAGAACTGTAGTAAAAAAGTTTTCGATAGCTTTTTATCACGAATTGACTTATTTGTATCAGAGCATCAGGATCACCCTCTCATTGGGTAACAACAAGCATTAATTGTGTATTAATTCATCTTTCTGTGTATTTTCAATAAAATACGAATTAAACTTTTAAGTTTTTATTTTTAATTATTGCTAAGACAAAATAATAAATAGATAAAACAAAAAATTGGCAAACAATATTATCAGCTAACAAAAATACATTTTAAGTTTCTTATTTTACATACATTTCCAAATTTTCCCAAAAAAGTTTGGGAACATCGCTCTACATGGCCGCCCCTGCCTTAAGTTATAGAATGATGATTACTGTCGCTTGATTTAACTTTTACTTCTTACAACCAGCTCGTGGTAGTCAAGCGTATATCGCAATGTCACTCTTTAACCGCTCTTTTTATCATTGCGAAGCAGAATTCGTTCTTTGGATTTTTTGTTTACATAGATGGACAAATGACCTATATTAGACTTTTAAACTCAGTAGAAGACATTCCATGTTTTCCGAAATTTGTTTATTTAATTCAAGTTATCCCGCGCGTGCTCTTCCAAATGTCTTTTCAAAGTAATTGCTCTAGAAAACTGCTTAAAACAAATTTCACACTTGTAAGGCTTTTCCCCAGTGTGCACTCTCAAATGTGTTTTCAAATCACCTGCGTGGCCAAATTTCTTAAAACAAATTTCACACTTGTACGGTTTTTCTTCAGTGTGCACTGTCAAATGTTTTTTCATACTAGCTGCTCGACTAAATTTCTTAAAACAAATTTCACACCTGTAAGATTTTTCCCCAGTGTGCAATACCAAATGTTTTTTCAAATTACTACTTATAGAAAACTGCTTAAAACAAATTTCACACTTGTAAGGCTTTTCTCCGGTGTGCACTCTCAAATGTGTTTTCAAACCACTTGCTAGAGCAAATTTCTTAAAACAAATTTCACACTTGTATGGCTTTTCTTCAGTGTGCACTACCAAATGTTGTTTCAAATTACTTCTTATAGAAAACTGCTTAAAACAAATTTCACACCTGTAAGATTTTTCGCCAGTGTGCACTATCAAATGTGTTTTCAAATTACCTGCTTGACTAAATTTCTTAAAACAAATTTCACACCTATAAGATTTTTCCCCAGTGTGCACTACCAAATGTGATTTCAATTGAGCTGCTAGACCAAATGTCTTAAAACAAATTTCACACTTGTACGGTTTTTCTCCAGTGTGCACTATCACATGTCTTTTCAAACTACTTACTCGACTAAATTTCTTAAAACAAATTTCACACCTGTAAGATTTTTCCCCAGTGTGCATTACCAAATGTTGTTTCAAATTACTTCCTCTAGAAAACCACTTAAAACAAATTTCACACTTGTAAGGCTTTTCACTAGTGTGAACTCTCAAATGTGTTTTGAAAAAATATGCTCGGCTAAACTGTTTACAACAAATTTCACACTGGTAAAGTTTTTCCTCAGTGTGCACTCTCAAATGTGTTTTCAAAGTATATGCTAGGCTAAACTGTTTACAACAAATTTCACACCTGTAAGATTTTTCCCCAGTGTGCACTACCAAATGTTTTTTCAAATTACCACTTATAGAAAACTGCTTAAAACAAATTTCACACTTGTAAGGCTTTTCTCCGGTGTGCACTCTCAAATGTGTTTTCAAACTACCTGCTAGAGTAAATTTCTTAAAACAAATTTCACACTTGTATGGCTTTTCTTCAGTGTGCACTACCAAATGTTGTTTCAAATTACTTCTTATAGAAAACTGCTTAAAACAAATTTCACACCTGTAAGATTTTTCGCCAGTGTGTACTACCAAATGTGTTTTCAAATAAGCTGCTTGACTAAATTTCTTAAAACAAATTTCACACCTGTAAGATTTTTCCCCAGTGTGCACTACCAAATGTGATTTCAATTGAGCTGCTAGACCAAATGTCTTAAAACAAATTTCACACTTGTACGGTTTTTCTCCAGTGTGCACTATCACATGTCTTTTCAAACTACTTACTAGACTAAATTTCTTAAAACAAATTTCACACCTGTAAGATTTTTCCCCAGTGTGCATTACCAAATGTTGTTTCAAATTACTTCCTCTAGAAAACCGCTTAAAACAAATTTCACACTTGTAAGGCTTTTCACTAGTGTGAACTCTCAAATGTGTTTTGAAAGAATATGCTCGGCTAAACTGTTTACAACAAATTTCACACTGGTAAAGTTTTTCCTCAGTGTGCACTCTCAAATGTGTTTTCAAAGTATATGCTCGGCTAAACTGTTTACAACAAATTTCACACCTGTAAGATTTTTCCCCAGTGTGCATTACCAAATGTTTTTTCAAATACCTTCTTATAGAAAACTGCTTAAAACAAATTTCACACTTGTATGGCTTTTCTCCGGTGTGCGCTCTCAAATGTGTTTTCAAACTACCTGCTAGAATAAATTTCTTAAAACAAATTTCACACTTGTATGGCTTTTCTTCAGTGTGCACTAACAAATGATTTTTCAAATACATTCTTATAGAAAACCGCTTAAAACAAATTTCACACTTGTATGGCTTTTCTCCGGTGTGCGCTCTCAAATGTGTTTTCAAATTAGATGCTTGACTAAATTTCTTAAAACAAATTTCACACCTGTAAGATTTTTCCCCAGTGTGCACTACCAAATGTGTTTTCAAATTAGCTGCTTGACCAAATTTCTTAAAACAAATTTCACACTTGTACGGTTTTTCTCCAGTGTGCACTGTCATATGTCTTTTCAAATTACCTACTTGACTAAATTTCTTAAAACAAATTTCACACCTGTAAGATTTTTTCCCAGTGTGCACTCTCAAATGTGTTTTCAAATTACTGGCTGTAGAAAACTTCTTGAAACAAATTTCACAATTGTAAGGTCCCTGTGTAGTCTGAACATTTATATTTTTATTTATAGTTGTCTCTTCTGAGTCTCGACTCATATAGTGTCCTTTATGGAATGAATATGAATGTTCAAAAAATATCTCCATTATTTTTGTTTTGTTCTCTTCCTGAGAAAAACCTAAAATACAAACAATTTATTAAAAGAGAAAAATTAAATCAGATACAATGTAATAAACTAAGTAAAGCAGAATACATAAAATACTTTTGCAGACAGCAAAAATCTACCCAATAATATAATAAATATATTCTATGCGCCTGCGTTTCTGTCTTGTGGATGCATAAGTCACACCTTTGTTTTAAGCAAATCTTTCGTAATCAGTAAAATATATAAGTCAATCACAGCGATCAAATGAGATCATATATGATTTTTAACATCAATCATCACATCATGATCATTGTTGCTACAGCAAAAGTTGTACGTGGACATTATTAAGCATACTCCGACATTTTATCCTATTCCTTATAGTCCAAGATCCCACTGCAAGATCACTATGTTGATGACGTAGTTAATCAAATTCACATGTTTACATATATTTATGGAGCAGAGGACGCCCACCAACCAGATGGACTGACGACCTGAAGCATGTTAAGAGTAAGTGAATGCAAGCCCCACAAGACAGAGACAGATGGAAAGAGTTAAGGGAGACCTATGTCCAGCTGTGTGGACGCATACAGGTTAATGATGATGCGGCCACAAAAAGTGGCCGCAAATAGTGTAATTCAATTAATGGTAATTAATTTGTAAACAAAAGTTTCGTTCATTTATTTTTTAAATAAAATACTCTGGCCATGACGTATATGTATGTTCTTTATATAAAATTAAAGCTATTTTTTTAAATATGATGATATAAGCTTGCCAGAAAAAATATGGTTGCATGGTAATGGTATCAAAGATAAAGTAAAAACATTTTCATATTTTATAGTCACAGCAGAAAAGTCCGTTTGTGTAACTAACGCGGGAGTGGCCGTCAGATATTCAAAATGTGAAAACGGACCATAAAGTAGGCATTTGACTTCCCGACCGACCACGACCAACCGACCGACGGCGAACAACCAACTTTTGTATTTTTGTATAAAAACAAAAAAAGCCCCAATTGTGTTAATCGCCATGTATCTTTCAACCGTGACTTTCAACCTTTACATCGTCAACTTTTTTCATAGTCCACACTTCACAATACTGTCCTATTTTCTCTGCCTTATTTTCCTATACAAACGTCAACACCTTATTCCTACATAATCTTGTGGTTCTTCAAACACCCCTTTTCATACAATATCGTCACACCTTCCTCTCACAAATTTCTGACCCCAATTTTAACTTCAGAACCATCCACATCCACCATACCAACATTTCACTATCTTATCTCTTCACTCACTTCACTCTTCACTTCTACATCGTTTTCCTGTTAATTCTGTTCTCTTTCATTATTTCTTGGTCAATTCATATATTAAACATGTATCCAATAGTTTTAATTTAGTAATCACTTAAACATTATCTAACAATTTATCAAAATTCATAATCTACCATATTACATAGAATCCTAATCTACCTTTGTCCACCTTCTTTCGGTCAACAACTTAGTAGCACACTTATACAACAAATTTCAGGTTTCTACAAACTGAATTTAATACCACCTAAATAGATTTTGTTCAGGGTGCTAGATATTTTAAGTATAAAGGACCCCTATTATCTCTAATTGTTGATCAACTCCTTTTCTCCTTCAACCCCCCCCTCCTTTCATTTCTTTTACTTTCATTCTCATTAGCCTCTGAGGAACCCAGTCTCTTCGATTTTAAATTCAATCACATATGTTACTACTTCAATTTCTTCAGCCTGTAGATTTCCATCTTACTAAACTTAATTTTATTAATTTTTCACCATAGGAGCATTCCTAAATAAAGTCATTTAAACATGAGGTCTGATATTAGCTTCAAATATTTGTTATTTAATTTTTACCTTGTCCTAGATGTGTTAAACATAAAAGGATCAATTTCATAAATACAAGCTAACTCAAAATTAAATACACTTTAGACCACATTCCATACGACGAAAAGCAACATAAGTTGCCTAAGGCACAGGTCATTATATTAATCATGACTATAAAACCATCATTGATTTGACATCTTTTATACCCTAAATTAATAAATAAAAAAGTTTTTAAATCCCAACACCTAGATTGTTGTTATTTTTAAAATCATCAAAACTTGTTGAATCTTTTGGCTGTAGTAATACTATGTACAACTTTTATAGTTTTTGTTGCATTGACATTCTGTTATCTTCATCCTTCAAAAGTATCTTGTCAATCAGTTCCACGTTGTTCTCCGAGTGCAGAGGTTGTCTCTCACCCGGCTCTGGAACCCAATTGAGCCATGTGTTACCTTTGGTCAAATTTAATTTAATATAGAACATCACAGTTATTTTATAACACAATGTACAACATTTCATATTTAAATGTAATTTAAAGGGTTTTTACCCTAATATTTTGGTGGCTCAGGCATTATGACCTAGTAAGTATAACCATCTTTTGCTTTTCAACCATAGTCAAAATTTCAAAATCTCGTTTGTTTTAACTAAATGGTTTATACTTATTTTTAGGCATTTTCGATTTTAATAACCTGATGATGGACTGTGTAGTCCGAAAACGTTTGTTTTATTGATGTGGCCCTTTTAAGGGTTTTTTAAATAAATATACCCATTTTTTTTTTTTGTATTTTTATTTTTACTCGCATTACTCGTTTGTATTCCATCGACAGACTGTCAAAAAGTCAGGAGGGTGTAGCGACATAACCACATTTTTGTAATACAGTACAACCGTTATCCGGAATAATTGGGGGGAAGGCCGTTTCGAATAACAAGAATTTCGGTTAAAAATAACATTGTTTTTTTAAACATTTTTAACATTTAGTATTCTTGGTTAAAATATTGGTATTAAAAAATACTATGAGGTGATTTCGTAATGTTTTCTAATAAGTAAATACAGAGTAAAGTAATAAAATTAAGGAAAATGAACAAGTTTAACATGATTTTTTAAAGAAATCTATTTTCTTTTACGTTATTGTTTGACAACGATGTTTTGCAGCTATATATCTCCATCGTTCATTTGCAAAACGTCGTGAGTTTGCCTTATTTCATCGTTCAACGAAACGTAAAGCAATCTGAAAAGGACAAAACTTTATACAATGACAACAAAAATTAAGAACCTACTCGTGTCCCTAACTAATTATGCCTACTATATAAAATTCTTATCCTTAAGGCATTGAAAATCTCATCATTGGTCTCATGCTGCCTGTTGTCTGTTGGGTCCTCATCTTCGTCTTCTGATACGCTCAGGTTGTCTGGATGAAGAACCATATCAATGATGACCTGGTCGATGATTTCACTTTCTGAGTCATCGTCTGCTAACCACTCATGTATCTCTTCTTAGTTTATTTCGTCACATCCCGGCAAATCTTCTTATTAAAGGTTTCTTTTCTTCTGTCGTTTCTTTACCAGTTTCTTCTTCATGATCGTCAATCAAAATCCTATCAAAAAGTTAGTTCCAGCATTTTTCGAAAGTTGAAGATTTGATCTTGGCCCAGAACTCAGCACACCGATAAACAACATGTTTCATTGTTAAACAATTGAGGATTTCAGGAACACTTTTGCATTCATTCGTCTCCTGTAATAACAGATGTCTTAAGAATGCTCCTCTACAATGTCTCTCGAATTATTACTCCCTGGTCTAACAGCTGAATTAAGCTCGTGACACTCGGTGGCAAAATCTGACAATTATCACTATTGCATAGATTTTGAGGGTGAGTTGGCTCATTGTCAAAAAGCAACAATGCTTTGATGGGAAGGTTTTTTATATTTTAAAAAGGATTTTACACTTGGGACGAATTCATTTTCGAACCATTCTGAAAATAAAGTGGTCGACATCCATGAGTTTTTTTGGCTTCTATAAAAAACTGGAAGTGCTTTTTCTCAAATATCTTTTAGAGATCTTGGTTTTTTTTTATTTCCCAACACACATAGGCATCAATCGGTAAGTGAAATTAATGGAATTGTTTACATTTTGTGATAAAATATTACTTTTTATTGACGAAATTATTTAAACTGTCAGCCGTTTCGGTTAAACGATGTTTCGGTTAAAAAGGTTTCGGTTAAGGGAGGTTTTACTGTATTATTTTGCATATATATTATGGATAGAATTAGCAGCGATAATTCTATTGATAAATTGTTTATGACTTATTTGATGTGGAAACGTCTCCGTAGGGGTAGGACAGTTTAAGTGCATGACATTTTTTTAAAACTACACCAACAATGAGAATTCTTTGTGTTATATCCCATTGTATTAAATAATTCTATTAATATTCAAAATTATTATCGCATGAGCAAGCCCAAATTTTAAAGGGTAATTACAAATTTTAAAATGTCAATGGTCAATGTCATTGCTAAGAACAGTATAAATGAATTTGAAATGTTCCATATTCATCGACCAAGTGATCAAAAATTTCAACAAGTCCAAATTTCAAAACTGGACGATCGTGGTCAGTGATTGTAAGTGATGGACGGTCTGATTTTCCACCAGTCTGACACTGAGCATACATTTTCGTAGACTCGTAATGTTGTTATTTTCAGTTTTGAAATGTTTCATAATTTTTTGTACAGAAATGTTAGGTTCTTCAAATAATATTTGGAAATGTGTTAAAATACTTTATTTTATATTAGGCGTAATCTCAAAGACATGTTACAATTTACAATTATATAAGAAAAAGAAAGGACATGACCATGACTTGACTTATCTAATGACAATTAAATTACATGACAACCTTCTGTCATTCATGCCAACAGAACATTTCAAAGGTTTGCTCCTAAATTCCGTGTATTCTAACACCCTCCCTCAAACCTGTAAAATGCTTCATGGTGAAACAAAAACTCAAACTAAATTTAACATTTTCACGAATTTACAAAATTTTTCATGACTTAATGATTTAGTAAATACATCTGCCAGCTGACTATCTGTATATCTGTATATTCTAATTTTAACATGTTACTATTTACTAAGTCTAACACAAAATGCAGTTTAACATCTATATGTTTGCATTTCTTGTTATTCTCAAAGTTGTGAATTAATTTAA